CACATCTACAGGTCGCTAGGTTCTGAATGACACCATCCATATCCGATGTCTGTGGGGAAATGGCAGAGCCTTCTGCTGGAAATTCGTAAATGAAATCACTAATGCAGACAGACTTGGGAATTTCTAATACAGCTCTTTGTAAAGAGCTAGGAGAACCCCAGACAAAAGGTGCTGTATTGGGGAAGAGTATTATTAAATACAATGGCTGCTTGGAAATCAAAGCAGGTTTATAAAAGCCCCTACACATTTCCTTTGTGTGAAACTGCATTTTCCTGGCTTTTTTAAACAACTAGGAGGAGGTCTGAGGGTGAGGGAGAAGGTAAAAATTGCATCACCTGCAGATTATTTTTGACACCCCAATCCCACCATCCTGTAAACTACATAGTTTAGGGTTGTAGCTTGATGAGAAGAAGGAGGAAGATGATAAGACAAGATCCAATCCTGCAAAGCACTGAGCTTCCTCGTTTCCTGTTTGCCTGCATGAGAGTGTAAGGTGCTCAGCAGCTTCCAGGGGCCAGGACCAAAGAGAAAAGCACAAATCACACACATCCCATTCAACTGCCCCATATAAATATACTTTATAGGCACATGTGCACAACACATAAATACGTTTCAAGGGAACAATGAATAAGGCTACATCCTCATCCCAGGATTTGGTTAGCATTGCAAAATATTAAGGGCTGGATCTGGGTGTAAATCATGGTACATCCACTGACTCCAGAGAAGCAGCACTGAATTATCCAGGCTGAGAATTTGGCCTAACAGCTGTGGGGGGCCACACCACTGCCAGATTTATCTGATATTAGTTTCTACACAGATACCTTTATAACACTGGGAAGGCTGAGACAGCAATCAGATGGGTCAAGTGATGATCCAAAAACCCATGTAATTATGGAAAAACAACTTTGCAGGTCAGAACTGGGCCACTGTGGCCTTCATATCAGGCCTATACAGCCAGAAAAAGGGGGCATAAATCAATGGATAACAAATAAAAAAACACAGTAAGCTTCTGGATCATTTAAGATCCTGTACCCACCAGCATATGCATTTGAAGAAGCCATGACTCAGGATGAACCTGTTCTTTTGAACAGCAAACAGAGGGTGGAGGGAAAGCAATTTAAGGAAAAAAAAAAAACCTTTCTACTCACCTCACAGTCAAGGCCTGACTTCAGCTTGGCTGTGAGCAGAATAGAAAGAGTGCCAGGGACAGCCTCATGTTCCACAAACCCTTATGTGCAATGTTAATGGGCAGTGGACAGTTCTGTAGGGGAACTAGAGAATGGAGAGGTAGAAGGTACTTATTTAGTTTTTACTGTTATTTCTTGTATAAGTTTCCAATGCTTAAGGGTGCTGAACTGGCAACCCTGGAGGTCTCTTGTCACACAACAAAAATATAATAATCACAGCAGTTCAAGACACCCTCTCCCCCCCACCCCCAAACCCAAACCTATAATGAACCCATCAAGGAAGGGGTGTGCCTCCATAGATCATTTAGTCCCTGGATTCTCTACTGAGATTACTAACATAAGGGCCAGTTATACTGGCACTGTGTTAATACCACTATCTACTCAGTCAAAGCTGGCCTAAGACCAAGAATTCATGTCACAAAGCCCATTGGCCAAAAGAGAGAAACAATTTTTGGTCACTATGAAAGCTGGAAGCTGTAGGGGAAAAGTGGCAGGGGACAATCACTCTGGATAGACCCTGCATAAATAGCCTCCCATTTGCATTCACTCTGTGCCATTGTGAGACACAGGATACTATGCAAGGTGCACCTGTGATCTGATTCAGCGTGGCATTTATTTTCTTATGTACTGCTTACCTGAACTGGATTTCAAGCAACAATGTACAAGTGGAAGGCTTTCCCCACCACTAGCAGTCTTTCCTGAAGAGGCATTTGCTATTATTTGCTACTCAAAGGGTCACTTTATTCTTCCAACTTTGATTTTAAGTGAATTATGCCAAATTGGTGGAATTGTGACATCAGGGGAGAGGGGTTGTGACATCAATGGTATCTCAACCAATCATTAGTTTGATTCACACACTGAAATTCTAATGGTGAAATTGCTGTCACAATTGTTCGGTGTTTTCTTTTTTTTACATTTCACAGTCATATGTCACGGGCATGGAGAAGGGTCAGGATGGGTGAAGAAACTGTGACTACTCAGGGCCTATACACTACATTAAGCTCCATCATCAGTCTCAGTTTTACTCATACTAAAATGGCCAGCCAATTATTTCACAGCACTGACATATAAACTCAACTCTGGGTCTTTATGAAGGCAATTGAAACCTCTCAAGGCTATGATTTGAAGCTGGCTTTCCACAGTCAGAAAGTCAGCATTGCATCAGGTCACATTTAGAAAGATTATCTTTGCCATCAGAAAGTTGGAAAAAAAATGACAGAGCCATCAAAGAACTGCTGGCACTCTGTAGACTGTGTGTTGCTATAACCAGGTCCTCACAGTGACCTCACAGATGTGAAGTCTAAACATCTTACAACATGACAAGCATGAAATAACTTTTCCTCCATACACTTAGCTGGTGAGGGGAATTTTAACCACCTGTAGGGAATATCCAATCTCATTAGATTTCTCTCTCTCTATAACCATCTTTCTGTTTTTCAACACCTTTATAGAAACTTTTTTTTCCAATCAATTAATAATGCTAACCAAAAGCCATGTTACAGTAAAGTCAGGTAATTCAAGCCCTGGACAGATATGCTGTTTGAAGAGCTCCAAATGCCTTTGAAGCCCTCCAAACAGTATACTGCTGAAGAAGCACCTGAAAAATAGAAAAGCATTTAAAAAATGATTCTGGGGGAAAAAAAAATCCACATCTTTGAAATGCTTCCTTTTGAGGCACTTCCTGAAATGTCTGTCGGCTCGACTGGTCCTTTGGCATCCCACGGTGCTCAGCTCTCCACAACCCCCAGAGGGGCAGAGGAGAGGAGAGAACTGGGACAGACAGTCAAGGGGTGCTCTCTGGTGCACTCATCGAGCCTCAGGAACCTTTGCCGTGCAAGGATTTGCTAACCCTGCGGTTAGAGAACTGTGTCATTGCATGCATTCACAGCTATTCTAAAGTGCTTTGAGGGTAGGGGACTGCAGGTCTGCATGGTGCCAAATTTGAAGTGCTCTGGCCTCAGAGAGAAAGAGAAGGGGTTGTGCGTCTCACTTCTGCCCCAACCTCCAGCCCATGGGCCAAATCCAGCACATGGGCTCCCCACAGGTCCAGAAATTTGGCAGCAGGGGACTGGTGGCAATTAACAGTGGCACTGCCTCCATCCCTCCCCCCCTACCCACCCACCAAATTTCCAAGCCCTGTGGACCAGATGGCATGGCCCTATCTGCAGGGCTGAAGTTGGGGGTCTGATCTGGTGCCTGATACAGCATGTGCAGCTGGGGGTATGGGCCTGAATCTGGCATACTGGGGCTCCAAGCTGTGGGCCAGATGGGTTCCCAGCCCTGCACCGAGCTGGTCTTTGCATAGTGAATTGGCCCCAGGTCTCATGCGCTGAATCGGGCTATGGCCTAGTGCTAGACCAGCCCTGCACACTGGATTGGGCTCGTGGGCAAGGATCCAGTTCATAGACTGACCCAGAACCACTCATCTAATCCACAGAGCCAAAAAGCTGGACATCACTGCATTAGAGTAGAGCTTTTCTTACATGACCTCAAGAATACAAAGTTATCATGGGTGCATGTATGCAATCACTGGAGATCAGAAACCAAAAGGCATGCAAGGATTTGAAGGTGTGCAAAGGACTTTTATGCTGCTGTCCATTAACAAAAATGGTCATAAAATGTTGCCTATATGAACTGAAAGCAGTAGAGGAGAGTACAAATTCAGCATAACTAAACACTGTCTTTGTCTGAATAGCCTGCAACATGGTGCATCATGTGATAATATAAGGGAAGACCTCACTGCAGTACTACACAAAATGGTGTAGAAAAGCTGAACTGCTTGATGCTTGTGAAACTGGAATCCCGAGTGTAATGCTGAATGAACAGATGTCTTAGAAAATGGCTTCTCTGCTTGACTTTAAGTTAAATTTGACTAAGCATTTAAAAGAAACAGAATCTAAATTCAAGACATGCAAAAACATTATAAAACTGCCCATGTGAAAAAGATGTATCTTGTTTTTTAATTTACATCAGTACATAGATGTACTAATTCATACATAGGTGTAGATGACCTGAAACGTATGAAGTGGGCTTCTCACCTGCTTCAAAGGAATCCATGTATAATGTAATGTACATCCCATAGATAAAACATCTGCTCCTTATATAGCACAATCACAAATTCCACATCATTTTGTTACACAAAAACGTGAGCACGTGGGCTGCTCCCGGCGACTATCACTTTGTGTTATTATATCAGTAGCGCCATGATAACTGCGGACAGTGCTGTTGTTATGCGTGTACGGTGATTATAATTGTTTCCTTTATATATGCACAGGGACTCCAGTAGATCTCTTTCAGCAGATGCTGTTGGACAATTCTGTCATTGGGTGCAGAAAACAGTTACCTAGGTTATTCAGAATTTCATATGTGAGAGAGGAACAGGAGATCAAAGAAGGGCTATGGGATGAGAGAAAACAGCAACAGCTAAAAGTTGTCTTAACCAAACAGTGGTAATGTAGTGGGACCCTTTGCAGCACTACAGTTAAGGATGGGAGTAGCTTATTGTCTCATTGACATTATAAGCACTACTATGCAGCGGTAAGATATGCCACACACCCTCAGGGTTTAGCTGGTGACAAGATCAACATTTATTTCAATTTAAGTGATTTGACGGAAATAGGAAGTAATTGCAATAGGACCCTGCAGGAATTTAATGGTGTTTAAAGAAATGTGTTTCTTCAGTTCAGGCTGCTCCCCTTCATCATGCCTGCTCTGTGTATAACTCAGAACTGGAGACACCTGCATCCAGCTAATCCTGGGGAGACCTGACTTCCACGGGAAAGGAAAAGGAGGATGCATGTGGTCCACAGGTACCTGTGATGTCTGTCTGGGCATCTTCAGTCTCGGCAACTGCTGCTCGGCTCTTCCTCTCAATCTCTTTCATTTCAGGCACGTAGAAGTCCCATTGGCGGGCAAGGGGACACAGAAAATGTATTTGGTCTCCTTTGTAGATCTCCAGCCTGGGATAGGCACACAGCTTCCTCTCCTGAGAGAAAACAGGCACACATAATGAGACATAACCCATTACAAGGCTACATCTCCACGTGACCCCTTGGATCAGCAATTCCCAGGGACTTGTGAACCTGCATCTACTCTTGGTTGCAGGCAAATGTGTATTTGTTCAGTTGCTTGGACCATATCCCCCAAGACCCTGGATGCCTGAACCTGTGAGAGGCTGAGCACCTTCTGACAGATTGCTGAAGACCCTCAATTTGCCAATTAGCCAACACGCAACATGAACACAAAAATACCACAGAGAAAATAGATTAGAGGAGATAGAAGATAGTCAAGGGAACTATAGGATGCTCATAACATCATAGGACAGGGCCCCAGGAACTACTGAAAAGACACTGTGCTGATTTCCATGCATATGTCCTTTCAGGCACCACAAGAGCAATGAAGAGATGGTGGGACCCAGCTGAGGAGAACCAGTTGTACACATGTGAATGTGAGCTCATAGCATCCTTTCTTTTCACTTGTGCCACCCCAGCCCCCCTTAGAATGAAAAGAGGAATTCTGTTCCTAAGCCATGGAGAAGCTGTTCATCTTCCAGCATCCTGTCAAAACCTGTGTTCTTCTTGGTGGTAGAAGGGGCAGCTTCTCTCCCACAGAAAGCCCTGCCATCAAGTCATGGCCATTAAGCACAGCAAATTTAACACCCAATAATTTACTATTAGATGACTGAATCAATACTAGTTTTCAGCATGAGTGTTTTGGAAGAGGCTCAGATGATAATGAGCCTGGAGCCAATGTTGTGACAAGCAATTCTTCCTTTGCCTGGCAGCTTCAGCTGAGAAAGGGTGGTGAACTCTGCATTAGCAGAGCTGGGCTGTGCTGAAGACCCTTCAAATCTGTACTTTTTAGTCAGTACCCTAGTCATATTAACAAGGGTTTCACCAGGGGATTGTTTTTACCAGTTCTGCATGCATACTGCATCACTGTACAGCACACCATCCCCTTCTAACCTACAACAGAGCTTAACTACCTGATGACAGCAGGTGGTACCAACATCAGTGGAAGCTACTTCCCCGTCTCTTTCCATTCCCAGGGTTATATGTTCAACATGTAGAGAAGGGGTCTTCATTAGAAAACAAGGGTTTGCTTCTATCCAATGTTAATCAAAATGTGTTAAAATCCCGGTGAAGACAAGACAAATGTAGTTTTAACTGACATTAGCTGGTCTAGGAAAATCCTAAAGCTTTACCCTGTATAGCCCCTTCTGCCAAGGAAGCTAATGAAATGGAGACTCTGTTACACCCAAAGGATTAAAACAATCTTTGGGGAAGAGTGTAAAATCAGATCAAACTTGTTCAGATAGAACAAGCTGAAACTTATACAGAGGCACCAAGGACTCAGCTCCCAGCTCCCTCTCCCACTAGCTCTAGCAGGAGGTCAAATTAAATAGCAGAGTGAATTCTATTCCATTCAACTGATTTACACTGGGGCTGTACCTGGGCCTGGGTCTCTGAGCTTCACTTGGCCAAACCTTGGAAAACAGATGTTACTTTGCTGTCTGTTACTAAAGCACTTAGTAGCACTGACGCGCAAGGGGGATTCCACTGAGGACCAGCTGCTGCTCCTGGCAGGGGCCTGCCAAGCCTCAAACCTTTCTCCTTCGCCCAGACACAAGAGTCCTCTGAGCAGGCTCAGTGCTTCACTGAGTAATTAATATAATCCAGGCAAGACAGATAAAGAAGCTCCTTTCAGAAGTGCAAGGGAAGGAGAGTTTGAGGCTAATGCATGGGATTTCAGACACTTTCCCACTTCCTTCTCTCCCTTTGTCCTGGCTACAATCCCTCCCTCCTCATGAGCCCACTTAAAGCTCTCAGAGATCTGACCAGCCCAGCCCAGCTCTGCACCCACTGCTGGAAAAGACATCTTTTTCCTGAAATCCAGGTGCCAGCTGAGCCAGCCTGGAGGTGGAGGGAGGGTCTGAATGGGAACATATTCACACTGGTACCACGCAGGATCAAACAGGCAGGGCCCAGGGGACTCACGGGGGGACGGACGTTGCACTAAAAGAACAGCTGGACTTTCTGACTAACGCCCACACCTTGCCCGCCCAACAGCTGCGTTGCTTGACGTCTATTATGGTTTGCCTGCCAGAGGGGCAGTTTGTTTTCGAACATGCTAAGATTTAGAGGAGGGGAGAGAAGGGAGATTAGGTTTTTCTTTTAAAATAATTGGCGGCTTTATTTTGGGATGTGCAGTGTAGGCTCAAACAAATGTCCCCAAATAGCCCTTGGCTAGGAAAGCCTCTGCCAGCATACCAGGCACTCACCAGCATCATCTTTGCTCTGTAACTGGAAGGACTGGGAAGCAATGGAGACATGGTGATACACGGTTGGGTTAACAAGGCAACAAGAAATGAGGGGCTGCTGGAGAGGGGACTTTACACTCCAGACAGAAGGTCAAGGCATGAATGGCACTAGGCCTTGTCAACTCAAGGAGTTGCGCCTTCCACCCTAGTCTGAGAGCTGGTACCACCGTATGCAATGAGTTTGGGGGACACAGAGTAAACAAGCAAGCAAGTAGTAGATGGGTCCTCACCCTCATTAACTGCAGTGCCAGCAAAGAGTGACTGGGCCAAGCAAAATACCATCCAGGAGTGTTTCTCCTCCACAAGACAGGTAAGACTGTTTGGCAAGGAGAAGCTTGCTCAGTCACTGCCTCTTTCTATCTATTCTAGATGCTCCCACAGGCCTCTTCACTGCAGTACTTGTGCACCTTGCAACTATTTATAGATTTTATCCTCCCTTTCCCTGGGTAAAATTCTCTCTGTTTTACAGATGGAGAACTTAGACCCAGTGAGATTAAGTTATTTACCCAAGGTCACATGGGGACTGTGACTCAGTGGGGAACCATCCCCCAATCTTAAATCCAGCTGTATCCATAAATGATCCCCCTTACTGATCTGATAATCTATTGCTTTTCCCCAGCACTGAGGGAATGATCATTTTAGTTTAAACAGCAAGAAGGAAAACAGCAAACAGAACATCAGATTGTGCAGAGGCAGGCATGGCCCTGACAGCTATTCCAAACCTTCCCCTGGACTGAGAGCCCACACAATGCAGGGAGTGCAGCTCTAGGCATCAGAGAGTTCCTGACATGTCACTCAAAATAAACACAGATCTTTAAAGCCCTAAAGGTTCCTGCAGGAGGAGGTCTGGACCACAGCAACTCTCATCCTTGAGGTCTGACACACAAAGATCTGCTTGGCTTAAAAACAAAAAGGATGAAGGACTGCAGGGTTCCCTGGCTGAATAAACTCAGCTGGAGTAAAGGGCAAAACAGGAAACCAATGGTACCCGTATAAAGCTTGAATAAAAGGCATTTGCTTGGAGGCCCTGTGTAGGGGATGTGGGTCCATGTCCCACAGGGCCCCTCTACCACTGTGAGATACAGACTGGGCTAGATGGACTGTTAGAAGTTATGTTCTTATGATGAGGAAAGGATGACAGATATGGGACTGTTCAGCCTAGAAAAGAAAAGACTTTGGGGGTATTTGGTGGCAGCTTACAGATATATCGGGGACAGCATCAGGGGCTAGGTGAACAACTATTCACCAGAGCACCCCAGGGGAAAACCAGGAGCAACAGCCATAAACTCCTAGAAAGTTTCACACACCTTGCTAGGGTTATTTGACCCCAGCAGTCTTTCTTGCCCAGAGTGGGGGGACTGGACCCAATGATCTCACAAGATCCCTTCCAGCTTAAATTTCTGTAAATCTGTGTGTGATTCATGCAGCATCTGGTGTGCAATGCTAGGACACAAAGCTAGGTCTCTGCAGCCATTCATGACTCCCAGTCCACCTGTTGTTGCATAAGAACTGGCAGGAAACTCCCCTGCTCTCAAGGATTTCACAGTGGTCCTTGCTCAGAGTAACCCCCGAAGCTAGTCTCAGGCACAGATTCTTAAGGGCAAGCCCTGTAACTCCTCTGACCAAGATGCGGCTATTAAGTTACAGCACCTCTGTTTGCTAGTCCCATCAGTTAGCCCAATTAGCTAAGCTGCTGATAGGGATCTTTGCCCTTAAAGAGAACGCACAGACCCAGAGGTGAAATGCGGAGAAGTAGACAGTCTTTCCAGACTCAGTCAGCATTTAACGGTCAAGTTGAACACAGAAAACAGAGTCCTTGGGTCAGAACAGCCAAATCAAACTTAGAGAAAATCCATATTGGGTACAGAAGGTCTGTAAAATATGGCCTGTGGGCCAGATCCAGCCTGGGGAACCACTGGATCCAGCTCACAGAGCTGGAAAGCTTTGCCTTTGCCTATGCTCTTACTAGAACCAGCCAGCTTCCAGCTGTGCCTGTGCTGCTGCCACTTCTCCTCACCCTCCCAGCTCCAATCTGACACAGGCCAGGTGATTTTGACAGTGCACTGGTGACAGGAGGGTATGCCCTTGTCAGACCTAGGCAGCTCAGAGCTGCACCTACACTCCCGCTCCTCGGCTGGGGCGTAGACACAGCTTCCAGCCACGGCTACATGGCAATGTCCTGTGCCCAGCAGCAGTGCCCTCAGATGGGGAGTGCTCTCCACATAGGCTGGCTTTTAACTAGAAGCAGGGTAGCTGTGAGCAAGTTAATTAACACAAGGGGGTAAAATGGCCCTTGTGCACCTGTAGTACCTGAAGAACCATGGCTATTAGCTACTCTGCTTCTGGTTTAGGTGGCAGTCCAGGCAGAATGGTGCAGTGAGTATGAAGATGCCACTGCCACAATGGCATCTGCCATGTAGACCTGCCCAGTGATATCCAAACTGTTACAGAATCCTCTCCCCTCTTCACTGCTCACCCCACACCACACATCAAAATCATAGTGATTCCTGAATAATAGATTAGCATGTCTAGGGGGAAGAAACTTCAAGCGGGCCCCAAAGCTTTCCCCTTCAGTGAGCAATGAGACTAAGTAAGGGCTCTGTTGATGCATCTCTGCACTGGCCTACAGCAATGTTGCTCTAACTTCTGGCCCCATGGACTAGATAAGTTGAGCTGGATTCACGCACAGAGTGGCTCTATGCCAGGGGTGGGCAATTATT